CCCTCCCCCTCCCCTGCAGGGCCCCAGCCCCTGGATCCAGTGTCCCTCCCCTCAGTCAGGCAGCAGAAGGCGTGGGATTAGAGATTCTAACCCCAGAGGCGAAGCCCTGGGAAGCTTGTCAGCTCGGCTTCCAAAATCAGGCCCTGGGGGATGCGGAGGTTTGATAAGGAACGGCTCCTGTCTGCTTGCAGCTCTGGGGGGCGCAATCCGAGGCTCTTATTTAAGGCAGCCCTTGCCAGGAGCCAGCAGGCCTCCTTTCAAAGGGTCGTCCTCCAGCAGCCGTGCGGCCTGGGGGGCATCTGTCACCACGGCCACCACCACCAGGCCCCCTGGGTCTTCCTCTCATCCAGAGTAGGTGCCCAAGGCCGGCGCAGCCGGGAGGCCATGGAGTTCAGCCTGTGCAGGGTACAAGGCACCACCCTGCACCCCCCCATCTCCCCCAGCTTCCGTGGACTCCCGCCTGCGTCCTCCCTGCACCCACCCAAGGCAAGCAGATGTGCGCCAAGCTCAGCGCTCAGCGGCTGCCCTAAGCCGCCCCAGGCTGAGCGCAAGCCTTCTCTGGCCAAGGTCGCTGCTGAGAACCAGCTTTCCCTGGCCGCCTCGGGGGCGGGGACGCATCAGCGTTAAATTTAGCCCCCATGTCTGTAATAGTTACGCCCACGGAGGCACGGGCGTGTAAATAGCCGTCTCCCCATAGCGCATCTGTGTCATCTGTCTGTGTTTCAAAGCAACCCCACCGAAGCCGCTCCAGCATCATGTCCATCACGGCCGAGCCCCCCGGAAACGACTCTATCCTCAGGCGCTACAAGGAAGACGCGCCTCACCGCAGGTGGGTGGCCGGGGGAGGCAGGATGCTGCCCACTTTACCGATGAGGCCGAGGCTCAGAGAAGGCGTGTGGCTAGCTACCAAATGCCAACGCCTCCGTCGGTTTGCCCCCCTGCTGCCAGGAAATCAGTTTTTTTTCTGCCCAAGAGTGGTAGACCCCAGGAAGAGCCTCCCCATTCCTGCTTCCCCTTCCCCGTCCTCACCTCTGGGAAACCATCCGCATCCTCAACTGGGAAAACCACAAGTGGAGGAATTCCCTGGGCATTCAGATGCTACTGAATTCTGCTGGACGTCGGGCATCTCACCCTCAGTGTAAGGGATCCCTGGGGAGCTTCCAGAAGGGCTGGTGGCACCGAGCGGCCTACGGGGTGGGATCCACATCTCCGACCTGCCCACGGCCTGGTGTGGGCCTCGTTGCTCTACAGCAAGGACCCCTCGTGGGGAGCTTGGAACTCGGGGAGCATGTCCCGTCCTGTGTGAAGGGCATGCTCAGCTGTGTAGACCCATCCCACAAGGCGGCCTGAGCTCAAGTGGATGCTCAGTCCTCTGTGTCAGGAAGAGAGTGAGTGGGAAGTAGCCGGTGGGGCTGTCGGGGACGCGGCTGACCCCGGCCCTTCATGAGCCTCCTCACACCAGCCACCTGGGACACCCTGTCCTCCAGCGGAGCACCCAGCTTTGTCCAGCCCTCCGTCCACCTTCCCCCCGCCCATGCTGCCCTCTGCAAGCCAAGGCCTCTCGGAGAGCCGGAAGGTTCCAGAATCTTGCCCCACCCTCAACCACTGCACACGGCCTGGAGAGCTCCCAGGCTCACAGGCACTCCCCCATCCCCCCTTTTGTCTTGCAGCACCGTCGAGGAAGACAATGACAGTGGCGGGTTCGACGTCTTGGACTTTGACGGTAGGTACCCGGTGGATCCCAGAGGCATACCAGTGTGGTGGCCAGCTCAGGGCAGAGCCCTGCGCCTCCCGGGTCCTCAGGAAACGCGTGCGGTGTGGATGTCGAGAGGGCAGAAAGAGTCCGTCCCCCCCGAGACGGAGGTGTGGGGCAGACGAGCCCTGGGGAGACCGAGGGTAGGCAGCCATCCTACACCAGGCCCACGGCAGAGCCGGTGTGATGGAGGGGATGTTCCCTGGGCCTAGAATGAGCCGTGCAGGGAGCCGGGAATGAGGGGAGCTGCAGCCCCTTACAGTCGGGGGGGTCCGGTTCAGCCCAACGCACATGGAGCCCCCACACCTCACCACGCCCGGGGCACAGGACACAAAGACTCACGTCCCCGGGTCCTTGCACTGGCCAACACCCGGGTGGTAGAGCTGTGATGTACCAACCCCGAGCACCTGCCTGGGTGGGCAGAAGACAAAGGGGCGGGAAGGGTTCAGAGGCCTCCGGGAGATGACCCCGTGCCTCCGGTGGCCCCTGCTCCTTCTCAGCTGGAAGCACGGGGGCTGGCCCAGACTCCCCCAGGTGGGGCCTGCCAGCCCTCTCATTCCCGGGCTTCCCCCAACCCTGCCTGCACCCTCAGCAGCTCAGGCTGCCGGCAGATAAGATGAAGGATTAGCAGCTCTCCCTAATTGGGGACCATCAGGAGCTATCAAGTGTTAAAGAGAGGTTAGCACCTAATAGAGGCTGGGTAATGAAAAGAATTGAAGGAGTTTGGGAAAGGGGAGAGCTCAAAAGAGAATTCTGGGCAGCCATCCAAGGCATTCTGCAGCGTCAGGACAAATTCCCGTTGCAGAGAAGCCTTGTTATCAGCCCAGAGCTGGGTTTGCACATCCTGCATCCCAGTGCCTGGGCTGTGGGGAGTGGGGGTCTTCCCCCCAAGTCCTCGGGGTCCCGCTGAGTTGGGAAGAGGGGGCTTCGGCCCTCGGTGTAGGCTCTGCCCTTCGTGCCCTGCCCCAGCCCACAGGCCTAGAAGTGGCAGATGGTAAGACCTAAGGTGGTCCCGAGATGAAAACATGGACCCCAATTCAAAAGCGGAATGGGTGCGAGCTGGTGCAGACCCCTTTCCCAGGTACAGAAACAGGAGTCTTAAAAAGCAGGTAGCTGGTGAGGCTTCCCATAAGCAGGGACTCCGAGGCAGGGACGTGGCTCTCCGGAAGAAGATTCATTCAGTGCAGCACTGGACTGCAGGCCTCCTGGCCCGGGACCCAGCGGGAGAATTTCCTGGGAGGCAGGTGGCGAGGAGTAGGGGCCGCCCTCCCTGCCCTGCGGGTCCTCATGTGCACTGGCCCCTTTGCAGACGACAGTCACGATCGCTGCTCCTTCGGACCCCCGTCCGTCCACTCCTCCTCCTCTTCCCACCAGTCCGAGGGTCTGGACGCCTATGACCTGGAGCAAGTCAACCTCATGTTTAGAAAGTTCTCTCTAGAAAGGTACTGTGGTCGCGGGAGTGGGGAGCCAGTGCTGGGGGCGGGGACGGCAGGGTAAAGGCCAGTCACCCCCAAGATTGCCCAAAAACCATCCACCTCCCCTGGATTCTGGAATCAGAGTCCAGAAACCATAGTGTCTCAGAGCCAGAGAGCACCACCCATCCCCCCACCACCGGCCCCCGTCCAGGCCCGGAGAGGGAGAGGCTCGTCCAGGGCCACCCAGAGAGGCAAGGGGGCAGCCCTCGATGTGCGACGGGCCCCCGCCCCACCTGAGACTTGCTGCTGGGCTGGAAAGCCAGGTGGGAAGGGGGAGGACCCTGCCCGCAGAGGCCTGCCCCATGGTGTGTCCTAATCACTGTTTCCTTCCCTGACCCAGGCCCTTCCGGCCATCTGTCACGTCCGTGGGGCACGTGCGGGGTCCCGGGCCCTCAGTGCAGCACACCACGCTGAACGGCGACAGCCTCATCTCACAGCTCACCCTGCTCGGGGGCAACGCGCGAGGGAGCTTCGTCCACACGGTCAAGCCGGGCTCCCTGGCCGAGAAGGCCGGCCTCCGCGAGGGCCACCAGCTGCTGCTGGTGAGGGGCCGGGGTGGGGGTCGGGGGGTGGGCACACACCAGCGCACGGGGAGGCAAATGAGTTTCAGTGGGATGCTTCCTTGGCTCTCGGCGACATCGAGCTGGTCGCTGTCTGGGGAGAGGAGTTTTTGTTCCCCGGGGGGCGGCCCTCATCCCGTGGAGCCGAGGAGAACAGCGTGTCTCTGATACCTAGCTGGAAGGCTGCATCAAAGGCGAGCGGCAGAGCGTCCCGTTGGACACGTGCACAAAGGAGGAGGTGCACTGGACCATCCAGAGATGCAGCGGCCCCGTCACACTGCACTACAAGGTCAACCAGGAAGGTAAAGCCGCCACGCTCACCCGCACTCGGCCACGGCCAGCAGGATGGCCCATGGCGGCGGGGGCGGGGGGGGGTTCGGCCCTGGACAGGGCTGGGGTCGCGCCTCCTCTGTCTGGGCGGTGAGCACCAGGCTCTGTCTTCCGGTTCCCAAAGCCTAAGCCCCCGTTCTCACCTCCGGGGTTTTTTCCTGCATGATTATCTCTGCAGCTGGATCTTATTTTTAACCACTAGGGCTCATGAATGTTTCAACAGAGCATAAATAGCCACTTTCTCTCTAGCCGCTCCCCACTGGGGCCTGCTAGCCTGCAGTCCTTCCCGGCAGCGCCCGGTCGGTGCAGAAGATGATCGGATGCTCTGTCCCCACACACAGGGCGCAGCCGCCTCCTCCTCCTCCCCACTCGGGCAGGCTCCTCCCCTCTTCCCACCTGGCTTTCCAGCCCAGCAGAAAGTCTGTGGGCGGCGCCCTGCCCACTGGCCGGCAGCATCCCCAGAGTTGTAGCCGTGTGATCCAGATTTCAGGGCAGGAAATGTCCCTGCCTAGCAGGGTCCCGCCTGGAGGGCCGTTCTCTGAGGGGGCAGAGAGCTCAGAGAGTGATGGGGTTAACCCTGACCAGGGCAATGGGAAGGACCCGACCAGGAATCCCCTGCTTCTCCGGGAACATTGATCAGACAACCCTGCGGGTTCAAGGCTCCCCCGGTGTGTGTGGCATGGACACGCTGGGCCTGGCTCTTAGGGCAGGTGTAGCTTCCACCATGTTAGGCAACTCTGTGTGTGCGGGGCTGGTGTGGGGCTTTCTATTATGGATTTATGTTACAGACATTCAGTTTGCTGGATTTATTGTATTTGCGGTTTATGCCCCATTTCCTTCCAAAGGGATTTGTAGAAACTCACACTATAAAGGACAGTGGCGTTAAATAAGGTTAAAAGAACACGCGCCGTGGTCCTACCGCTTGGGAAAACCTTTGGGCGGTGTCTAGAAAGCTACATGGATAGAAAATCAAGGACCTAGTGATTCTACTTCCGTGAGTAGAGCCAGGAGAAACGAGTGCGCGTGTCCACCAAAGACACGTATGAGACTGTCCACAGCAGAGTGACCCGTCACAGCCAAAGCCTGGGAACGGCTCAGGAGAAGGGGTAAATGAACGCGTGGAGGGCGTGGAGATCGTAGCCAAGGTCCTAGGCTTGTTGCACCTTGGCACAAAACTTAGCTGTGAGCTCCTGGGCAGCCAAGACAAAGAGGGAAACCCCGCGAGCTCTAAGAGGAATGTGCCACACGGGCGCGTCTTTGCAGGCAGCGAGGAGGGAATTTGCGCCTGGAGGTTCTTGGCAGTTCCTTGACCTTCCCTCCTTGCGCAGGGTACCGGAAGCTGCTGAAGGACATGGAGGAGGGCCTGATCACCTCGGGGGACTCCTTCTACATCCGGCTGAACCTGAACATCTCCAGCCAGCTGGATGCCTGCTCCCTGTCCCTGAAGTGTGATGACGTTGTGCATGTCCGCGACACCATGTACCAGGACAGGCATGAGTGGCTGTGCGCGCGGGTCGACCCTTTCACGGACCACGACCTGGACGCGGGCACCATACCCAGCTACAGCCGGTGAGGCCGGAGCCGGTGCCGGGGGGGGGGGGTGCAGGGAGTGAGGGGGCTGCTGCCCAGCAGAGGGGCTCATGGGGGGGCCGCTGCCTGCTGACCAGTGAGACCCCCCCCATTCCCTCCTCCCCCTGAAGCCTCCCCTGCCTGGCCCGGGATATTGCTCCCTTAAGTCCTGTTGCTTCACTCACGCCCGGGAAATCCTCCTCCGGTCATGGCCAGGGAATGCCGGGCTCTCGGTTTTACGCCCCTTTGCTAGCCGTGGGTGGCGTAGCCGCAGGCCACCTGCCTGACATCCTTATGTAATTATACAGCGGTGGCGCATCGCTTAGACGCGGCAGGTGTCTGTGAAGCACCTGTGGGCTCCGGCGGTCGCTCAGGCCAGCCCTGTGAGGTCAGCATCGGCAGACCCCACCTCCAAGGCTCGGAGGAGTGGCTTAGCCTCAGTCAGCCCAGGCCATGGGACTCAAGCCGAGCTGCCCGGGTGCCGTGTCCTCCCTGGGGTACCCCCGGGTCCCAGAGCTCCCCCTGCACAGGGGCAGGCCCGGCCCTGAGGTTCTGCCCTCCCCTCCTGTCTCCCCCAGAGCCCAGCAACTCCTCCTGGTCAAGCTGCAACGTCTGATGCACAGGGGCAGCCGAGAGGAGGCGGACACCACCCACCACACCCTGAGGGCGCTCCGGGTAGGTCCCCCAGTGGATTACTGGGACTTGGTTCCTCGGGGATGGGACAGCCCCTCCAGGAGGAGCCCTGCCCTCGGGGACCGACCCCTCGCGGGGAGGCAGCCCTTCCCCTGCGTCTCTGGTCTCTGCTAGGACAAGCCTCGGGGCTCCCCTTGCCCTCCAAGCTTGCTCCCCTTCTGGAATGCCTTGGTTCCACGACTGGCACTCCTCCCCTTTGCACCGAGGGGGCTTGAGGACGCGTCCCTGGTTCTCGGCGGCCTCCATGGGCTCTCGTGTCCTGCCAAGCCCAGCGCGTCTGACTGACTGATAACTGATTTCAGAACACCCTGCAGCCCGAAGAGCCGCTTTCCACCAGTGACCCCCGGGTCAGTCCCCGTCTCTCTCGAGCAAGTTTCCTTTTTGGCCAACTCCTTCAGGTAAAGCGCCCCAGAGTGCCTCCTGACTTTTCTTCGCAGTCACGTTTTGCTATGGCTTGCCCTCTCACTGCCGAGAAGACCTGATCAAAATAACCGTGCTTTGTGTTTGTACCCCACTTGCAACTTCTCAAGTGCCTCACATTTCCCATCCCAGTGTATCCTCACAGTGACAGGTCAGTAGACAGTCTCTGTACCTGTTGGAAACAACATCAGTTTCATAAAAGATTAGAGGAACTTAAGGCTAAAAGAACTTAAATAACTTAACTGTTCAAGTATTAACAGATCAGAAACAGTGTATCAGGAGAAGAAAATAAACATCGTAAGCGTCTAGGTCAGTTTCGTCCCTCGGATCATGCATGAAATTTATCTCTGAGCATCCTGGCAGCCAAGGAAAAAAGGGAAACACTACATATTCTTTAAATCTAATCTGACCACAGAAACATTTTAGCTCTTTGGGACCTGAAAAATTTTTCCCTTATACTTAACTCTGAAATGGATTTTTTTTTTTTTTGCATGAATCCTTTTACAAGGACATTGAATAGCACAGTAGGTGATATCTTCAGAAGGGATTTCACATAAATGTAGAAGCAGTGCTCGATTCGGCAGCACATATACATAAGTGCAGAAGCATTCTGGGCAGCCCTTTCTTCTGTTACCGGCTGACAGAGCTAAGGTGTGGCCCCGCGGGGACATTCCTGTGTTGATTCTGTGCTAATCAGGCCCCAGAGGAGCTGGTGTGTCACTCCACTGCTCCATCCTGATGTGGAAAGATAGGAAACCCAGAGAAATGGTTAACGGTGTGACCCTGAAACCAGATAGATGCAGTCAGGTACCAGAAAGATACTTAGGGAGGTGGAAGGAGCTCTCGTGAGTCTGAGCTACTCCTGAAGGCAGGACCACGTGAGACCACATGGTCCTGCTCACGTCACTGCCCACATGTCATACAGGAGTCATAAACCTTGGACATCTCTGGGTGGCTCACCCAAGGGCCAGTGAACAACAGGGCCTGACCGAGATCTCAGCTCCCTGGATTTTTCTTCCTGCAGCAGGAGGGTATGGAGAGATCAAAGTAGCCCAGGGAGTAGGTGGGAATTTAGATTCTGTGTCCACCACTGGGGCATTCCTCTCTACCCTCCAGGGCTCAATTCTGAATCGTACAAGGGAGCAGGCACCCCCAGAGCACTTGGGGATACTGAGGCAGGGGTTGTGAAGGGCAACATCATGGGAGATGGAGCCGTCCTGCCAACAGGGGCTCCCAGACAGGGACCTTCCAACCGCGGCTCCCCAGCAATGTGCATGGGATTGCCAGAGGGACTCCCCACACACCCCACCTGCACCCCACCCCTCGACAGGCTTCAAGCCTGGTTAGGGAGAAGAGAGAATCAGCCTTTGTTTGCTTACTTACCTGCTAATGACGTCAGAAACAGCTAAAGGACCCTCTCGGCCTGCTAGGTGTCTCCTGATTTCACGGGGGAAAGTGACTGACCCCGGCCCCCAGGGGCAGAGCTGCGGTCTGAGCAGAGGTCTGCCCGTGCCCGGGTGGAGGCAGCTTGGTCTGGTTAGAAGCAAAGCCCCCCGCCCCTGTCCTCCAGTTTGTCAGCAGGTCTGAGAACAAGTACAAGAGAATGAACAGCAACGAGCGAGTCCGTATTGTCTCGGGGAGCCCACTGGGAAGCCTGGCCCGGACGTCCCTGGATGCCACCAAACTCTTGACTGAGAAGCAGGAAGGTATGGCACTGACCGCCTGGCCCCTCCCCACCTCCTGCTGGCCTGGGGGCTGCTGGGGGTCTGGGCACGTCATCCCGTGGGTCCCCACCAGGGGGGCTGGGACACCTACTCTCTCAAAAGAGGGTCCTGCCCTGGGAGGATCTGCCAGGGGACCCGTCTGGCCTTTGCTGGATGGCGCACACAGCCCACCGGCTGGGGGGGGGGGCGCAGGAGGGGGTCTCCCGCCAGGCTCACCCCTAACAAACACTTGCTGTAGTTGGTTGGAACCCAGATGCCCGTGTTAATTGGAGCTGTTTGCTGCTAAGTCCACTTATTGATTTCTCTCCCCACTGCGTGCTTCTGGCCGTTTATCAAGCGGCCAGGGGTCGCTGGCTACACAGGCCCCTGTGGAAGGCCCTGCTGACGGCGAGCCAGCCTTGCCGGCTGTCCTCGCGGGGCCAGGCTGGCCTGGGCACGGATGGCCAGAGGGCCTGGGCTCCTCTCCAGGCTGGCCCTCCAACGGCCAGATCAGGGGACAAAGGAAAGGACAAGCCGCTGGGCTGTGCGGCGGCGGTTCCTGGAGCTGCTGGGGGCCGGCTCTGCGCTGCTTCCCGCACACCAGCCAGAGAGGCTTGAAAAGGCAGAAGGGAGGCCACGTCCCTCCCTGCCTCTGGCCCTGGTGGCTTCCCAGAGCTTCTGAAATAAGCCCCAAGCCCCTCTTGGCCGGCCCTGCCCACCCCTGCCCACCGTCCGCTCCTGCCGGCCCCTCACTCTCCTTCTGCCCACCCACCTGCCCCTCTGCGCGGACTGCCCTTGCTCCACCAGCTCTCCTCGCCCGGTTTCTTCTCTGAGCACTGGCCCCAGTCCCCGACTGTCCTCAGAAAAGCCGTCCTTGCCCATCCCACTCCAGCCCCCTCCTGGAGAGCTCAGCGCTCCTGCCACCACCACCTCCCTGAAAACAAGCACCAGGAGGCAGGGTCGTTGCCCCAGCTCCCAGAACAGGGCCCGGCCCATGGGGCACCTCGTAAACACTCCTGGATGGCCAAGGGGCATCCTGGTTCCTGCGGGCTCCATGGGGTCAACAAGGCTCCCAGGCCCTCCGTGCCCTGCACCCTGGTGGGCAGGCCAGGGTCTCAGCGCTGGCCCTTTCCTGTCCCCTCCCAGAGCTGGACCCCGAGAGTGAGCTCAGCAAGAACCTCAGCCTGATCCCCTACAGCCTGGTGCGTGCCTTCCACTGTGAGCGCCGCCGGCCCGTCCTCTTCACGCCCACCATGCTGGCCAAGGTGCTGGTCCAGAAGCTGCTCAACTCGGGGGGCGCGATGGAGTTCACCATGTGCAAGCCAGGTGAGTGCGCCCCACCAGCGGGGCAGGAGAGCAGACGGAAGGGCCACGCTCCCTCCTGGCCAGGTGTGCGCGGGGAGGGGGCGTCACGGTCCCTGGTGCCACAGCAGCCCTCTCGGAGTTCACCGTGGCCCCAGAGCAGGGAACGCTGGCCTTCCCTTCACCATTCACACTGAGGGTCCGGGACGAAGGGCACAGGGTCAGTTAGGAGATGTGACTTGGGGTGCCCACTCCGGGCCCTTAGGTAAGAGGCAAGCCACCCATCACTAGAGCCTCCATGTCCTCGATGTGGCTAGGGGACCATGGTCGTACACCCTGCACACAGAGGGGTGAGCCCCAATCCTGGCTGCAAACTAGAATCGTCCTCAGCATCGTCTGTATTTAAATCATGGACGTCCAGGGCCGCCCAGACCAACCAAATGTCAGGTGCCCAGCCCGGGGGGGAGGGGGGGAAGTTGTTATAATAAAATATACATGACGTAAAATTTACCACCTTAACCACTTCTAAGTGTCCAATTCAGGGGTATTAAGTACATGTACCTCCAGAACTTTTTCATCTTCCCAAACTGAAACTGTCCCCATTAAACACTCACTCCCCACCCCCAGCCCTGGCGCCCACCATTTACTGTCTGTCTCTGTGGATCTGACTCCTCTGTGGGCCTCACATAAGGGGAGCCATCCAGTGTCTGTCCCTTGGCCTCTGGCTTCTGTCACTCAGCATCATATCCTCGAGGTCCATCCCTGTGGTAGCAGGTTTCAGCACGTCCTTCCTTGTTAAGGCCAAGGGATATTCCACGGTGTGGATGGGCCACCTCGTGTCCATCCATCATCCACCAATGGACACATGGGGTGCTTCCGCCTCTCAGCTGCCGGGAATCATGCTGCCGTGAACGTGGGCAAGCAAGCACCTCGTCAAGTCCCTGCTTCCAGTTTTTTTCAGGGAGAGACCCAGCAGTGAGATTGCTGGTTCACATGGTGATTTTAATTTTAAACTGCCACACTCATCTGCACAGCAGCTATACCATTCCATCTTCCCCCCGAGCACACACAAGGGTCCCGGTTTCTCCCCGACCTCACCAACGCTGGTCATTTGCCTTAACGGTAGTCATCCTAGTGGACGTGACGTGGAGGTGTCAAGGTTTTGAGTTCACCCTCTGAGGTGCAATTTACATAGAGCAACACGCCCCCATTTCAAGTGTGCAGTTGAATGAGTTTGGGCAGGTGTCTGCACCCCGTGACCCCAGCCACGACCAAGAGACAGAACATTGCGTCCCCTCGGGCTCCCCTCTACCCCCTGTCCCAGGCACTATTGATCTGCTATCCATCACACATTGGTTTGCATTTTCTAGACTTTTCTACAAAAGGAACCGTGCAGTGTAGAATCACCTGAACCTGGCTCCTTTCGCCCCACATAATGTTTTTGAGATCCATCCATGTGTTTGCTCCTACTGCGGCAGAGTGGCATCCCCGCGAGCCGGGCAGCCGTATCCATCCATCAGGAATCCTTTATGCCAAGCTCCCCCAGAGGTTCTCCTGTGGGGCCAGGGCTCGGAGCCCTCAGAACAGTCCCTGGCCAGGATCCAGACTTCCTGAGCATTCACTTCTGCTTTCGCTGCCTGCGTTTATCAGTAAGCCCTAATGTTACGGTGGGACAGCTCCTGAGCAGGAGCAGACCCACCTGCTGATTCCTGGGAGGCAGCTCCACGCGCAGCCTTCTCCTGCATGCTGACGCCGATGCACCCGAGGTCTCCCTGGATGCCCGGCTCAGTGGGAAGTGAGAGGCCGCACCCCCAGTGTCCCTCCTTCCATGCTTTAGACCCTCTACAGCCCCTGGCCAAGAGGGCCTTGGCACACAGTGTGGTTGGTGGGAAAGATCATGTTCTTTGAGGCACGTGGTCTCCGGGTTAGGTTCTGCCCCTGCCTACCCCTCCCCAGCTGTTTATTTGGAGCAAGTTATCAACCTCTCTGTTTCTTCACCTGCAAAACCAGGATAATAACGGCCACTTCTCCTAGAAGTTAGAGGCCCATGGATGGCCAGAGGCTACCCTGGGGCCAAGCGCAGCATGGGTTCCAGGTTCTCAGCCCCCCACGTGGAGCAGGAAGGGCGCAGACGTGGGTCCCACAGCTCGCTGAGCGCCAGGTCCTGCAGCCACCGCGGCACCCACCTCCTATCTCAACAGAGTCCGCATGCCTCCACGGCCCTCCCAAGCCCAGCTTCAGGTGCAGGAACCTTTCAAGGTTGTGCACCCCCATGCTCTTCCTCTGCCTGACTATCTGGGAGCCTCACACACCCTGCAGGGAGGCTCTGGGTAGAGGACCTCACTCCTGCCTGAGGCTCCAAGCAGTTTTCAGTTGGCTCCCTGGTGATATGAGGTTAGGTAGAAAGCCTGATTTAGAAATCCCACTTAGCCACTCTGAACTCTGCAAACATGCCCTGTCTTCCCCTTGGTTCATTCACAGCCAGGGAGCTGTAGGCACTGTAGGGTGGGTGTTCTAGGCTGCCTCCCTCCCCCGAAATCACCCGCAGTTCCTCCCCTGCTGGCTGTCCCCCAGATCCCTTCCCACTCACTTCCAGTGCACAATGTAGCATACAGGCCAAACTTGGGGGCTAGTGTGGGCTCCCCCGGTCGGCCTGGGCCTAAGCAGGGAATTCCAGTCCTGGACTGACTCCACCCTCCTCCTTTCATAAATGGGAAACCTGAGGTCAAGAGATTAAAGATGTGTTCAGGGTCACCCAGCAAGTGAGGGGGGCCTCCAGTACATACCTCCTCCTCCAGGAAGCTTGCCTGTTCCCCTGTTCCCTCCACATCTCCTCACAGCTGCCACAATAAATAGCCCAGCACTGCACCTGCTAAGTTGTTTCATAGTTTATTGTATCTTACATCCTTCTCCCCAGCTACGTCATAGGTTCCCAAGTACAACAACAGCTATGTTTTTATCATATTTTTATTCTAATGATTGATCCTTAGTAGATTTCCAATAAATGTTAAATTTCAATAAAAACTTAATGGGATGGTGGGATCTTGGGTAGATGGATGAATGGATGGGGAGGTGGATGAGTAGATAGGCAGATGAATGGGTGTATTGGTGGATGGGTAGATGAATGGATGGGTGGATGGATGGATAGATACGTAGGTGGATGGGTGGATAGATAGGTAGGTGGATGGATGGATGGATGGTTAGATGGATGGGTGGGTGGATGGGTAGAGGGAGGGATGGATGGATGGTTGGATGGATGTATGGTTGGCTGGGTGAGTGAGTGGGTGGATGGATGGATGGGTGGATGGTTGGTTGGTTAGATGGGTGGATGGATGAATGGATGGATGGATGAGTAGATGAATGGATGGGTGGATAGGTAATAGATGGATGGATGGATGGTTGCATGGGTGGATGGGTAGATGGATGGATGGGTGAGTGGATGGGTGGATAGATGGATAGGTAGATGGATGGGTGAATGGTTGGATGAGTGGATGGATGGGTGGGTGGATGGATGGATGGGTGGATGGATAGATGGATAGGTAGATGGGTGGGTGGTTGGATGAATGGTTGGATAAGTGGATGGATGGGTGGGTAGATGGATGTATGGATGGTTGAATGTATGGATGGTTGAATGGATGGATGGTTGGATGGATGGATGGATGGATGGATGGATGGATGGATGGTTGCATGGGTGGATGAATGAATGGTTGAATGGTTGGGTGGGTGGATGGAGGAGTAGATTAATGGATAGGTGGATAGGTGATGGATGGATGGGTGGATGGATGGGTGGATGGTTGCATGGGTAGATGAGTAGATGAATGGATGGATGGGTGAGTGGATGGTTGGATGGGTGGATAGATAGGTAGATGGATGGGTGGATTAATGGATGGATGGATGGATGATTAGATGGATAATGGGTAGGTGGGCAGGTGGGTTGATGGTTGCATGGGTGGATGGATGATTGGTTGCATGGGTGGATGGTTGGTTGGTTGATGGGTGGGTGGGTGGATGGGTTGATGGACAGATAGTTGGATGGGTGGGTGGGTAGGTGGATGGTTGGTTGGATGGTTGTTTGGATGGGTAGATGAATGGATGGGTGGAGGGATGGATGGATAGATGGGTGGAAGGATGGTTGGATGAATGGTTGCATGGGTGGATGGTTGGTTGCTTGATGGGTGGGTGAGTGGGTGGGTGGATGGATGGGTGGATGGGTGGTGG